AAGCACAGAGTGGCTTTTATCATTAATCTATGTTTATTTGAATATTTGCTGTTGTTTTTGAAATATCTTTTAAGTATAAGCCAAATAGGTATCTGAAAACACTGCTTATTAATTATTTTGAAATGTAGAATCTCCTGGTTGATGATGATGATGATTTCAGTACCACCAGAGATGACATCGGGAAAGAAAAACAGAAGCAGCTGGCACTGGAGAAGAAGCATAGGTAACTCTCAGGGTTGGTACCGGGCACGGTGACCTCTGGGGCTCCCCTGACCTTTCGTGGTTTCCTTCTACTGCCCATGTTCTCTCATCTGCTGTTGATGGCGTCCTCGCAGAGCTCTCTGTGGACGTGGCAGTGCCAAGGACAAGCTCCCCACGCTCCACTCTGCCTCCTTAGGGGTCCGTCCTCCCCATCACATGCTCCCTCGCCCCCTCCCGCCCACCCTGGGTGCCCCGCTGCCCTCTGCATCCGCATTTTAGTGCCTGTCCACGCTCCCCAGAGGCCCCAGAGCCGGCTTACGTGTGGCCTGTGCTCGTGCATCTGAGGCACTGCCCAGGGTCGGCAGGGTAGGGCCTCTTGGCCATGACCAACTGGAGAAGCGAAGTGTGGTCTGGGGTTTCTGGGTGTTGGCAGTGTGCAGTGATGTCATCTGATGCTCGGCTTAGAAGGTCACCTTGGCTTCTAGGCACTGAGTTCCAGAGAGAAGAGTAGAATCAGAGAGACTGGCAGGGTGACAGGGTGGTGGTAGGAAGGATGGAAGATCTAGAATGTGGGCCTGAATGATCTAAAATGAGTTGGCCTCCTTCCCAGCTGCCTCTCAGCAGTGTGCGGTGAGCAGTGCACCCTGCTCCTTCTGTCCTTGGTGTTGGGGACATCCAGAGCCATCCAGGCCACCATGTCTCCTGACGCTTTTCTCCTCCCCAGCATCTCCTCCTCCAGGCCACCTGAGCTCAGGACTGCATCCTCTCCCCGTCCCTTTTGCCCTAGGTGCCTCCCAGGCAGCCTTTCCCCAGGGGATGTGCATCCTTGCCCCATTCCCAACTCTGCACCCCAGAGGCAAGACCTGGTGCCCTGTAGCCACCTGGATGGCAGGGATCCCAGCTCTGCTGCTTTGGAGTCTCTCCGGTGAAACCCTCCCAGTCCAGTGCACACACACCCTCAGCACCCTCCCCTGCCCCTGCCGGGGCCCTTGGTATGAACACGGCTGTCAGTTTGCGTCGTGAGTTTCCAGGCCTGTCTTCCTCACTCCCATCGGCGGCATTCTAGAGCATTGCTGTCCCAGACTCCCACTCGCGTAACATTGGCACAGTCCTGCCCTCAGCATCAGCCAGCTGATCTGATACTGCTTTCCACTTATTTCCATTTTATTCCTTTTTTGGACAGTTGTAGTGACATGCTTCCAAATTCAAAAGCCACTAAAGGAGCTTCCTGTGAAGTCTGCAGCCCTCCCTCCTTAGTCAGCCTGCCCTTTTCAGAGGGACCAGCATAACCGCCACCTGCATGGCCCTTCAGAGGGAGGGTACTTCCTGCCTCGCTGACAGAGAAGTCCCATGGTTCATCCTGCTGCACCAAATTGGGTCTCTCCCTCACCTGACTTGGGTGGCATTGCTGAGGGCACAATGGCTTGGTCAAAGGGTGTAGCTGTTGGTAATTCCAGAAACATAAAAAGACAACAAGCCAAAGATAGAGGTAGAAAGCATGAACACAGTTCACAGGAAACGAAGTTGCTTGCTGGTGTACAAAATGCCCCACCAGCAGGCGTGGCAGCACCCACTTGTGATCTGGGCTACTTGGGAGGCTGAGGCAGGAGGATGTAGAATTCAAGATCAGCCTGGGCAACTTAAGTGAGACCCCTCACTAGTAGCTCAGTTCTCCCTGGATTCAATCCCCGGTAGTGCAAAAAAGAAAGTCCAGCCAAATACATTCATCATAAAAGAAGCATAAACTCATACTGCTATGCACTGTCCCTACACACTTACCATCATTGCTGCAACAGTGCCAGCCTGGCAGGGATGCAGTCCCCGGGGTGAGTGTGGGCCTGGAGCAGGCCCCTCCTGGGGCACAGGCCCCCACACAAAGCAGCCCAAGCCAGGGACAGTAGGGATGCTGCTCAGCAGCAGGACAGCCGGTCTTTCTGCACTGGGTGCGTGCATACGCGAGGAGGGGCAGCAGGCAGGAGGGGCAGCAGGGGCAGCCACCATGCCTAAAGCCCTTGGACTCGAGTCTGAGTGTCGTCCCTCAGAGCGGGAAGCAGACAGCACGTGGGCCTGGGCGTTCCTTCCGGTTCATGGAGCTGTGCACTCGTGAATGGCAGGAACCATGAATGCCGACTTCAGAAGTGGGGGTGCTCTGCTGTGATTAATGCCCCTCTCCTAGCAGAGTGGAAAAGACCTAGAGTGTGACGGGCTGTGTCCTCACTTGTGGAGTTGGCAGGAGGATACACCGGGCTTCTCTGTAAGGCACATTCAGATGTATCCTGCAGCCTCTTCCAACCTGGGGTTCTGTGACTGCGAGTCAGTGCTGGCCTCTGTATCTCCACAGCCGAGAAACCCTTCGAGCGAACAACGACCTTTTCTCCAATGCTGGGACACCCACCCGGCCCCGAGGACCAGAAGCCTCACTGTCCATCCGCGTGGGCAGCTTCAGATAACACTGTACCCAGGCTCCATGACCGAGGGCTAGGGGGTATGTGGCTGGACAAGCTCGGACCCAGAGGACAGCTCCTCTCAGGCCAGGTACCACACCCGCCTCGTGGCTTTACACAAGTTCACTACCTATCTGTGGGTCACACCTACCATGTAAAGCACACCCATTCATGCACACTGTGGAAATGAGTGTGGTTCCTACTTCTGGTCCCATGCACAGGGCCGAGTGCTGACTGAGCTCTAGGAACCAAGTCGGGGTCTTCCGACCATGCCCCAAGCAATTCTAGTTCTCCCAAGGCTGGGTTGTAACTGGTTCTAAAGCCCTGGCTCTCCTGAGGGCTCGTTCAGCTCTGAAAGGTCTCGCTGCCACCTGCAGTACCACAACCTCTCCAGGTGGCGGCAGGGCCTTCATAGACAAGCCTCTCAGTCACGGCCATTGTCCAGGGCCAGCTGATCTGGATTCCTGAGTAGCCTCAATTAAAATAGGTGAGAAAATACAGGCTAAGGTTTTTTTCCCCCAGTTTAAATCTGTGCCTGACAGCACTGTATTCTTGAGCCGACTTCTTAGCACAAGCGTCACCCCTGAGATGGGCTGTGTCCCCACCCTGGTTGTCATCTGGTTTCCGTCAACTCCTCAGCCCTGGCCCTATTCTCACAGCACTGAGCTGGGGAGATGGGAGAGTGGCACTGGCCTGGCACCCCAGCTATGCCCCCACGGTGGCCCTGCCCTTCCCAGAATCGGGAGAAGAACCTTCATCCCTCCTGCGCGTCTGGCTGAGGAGCTATCACAAGGTACGGCACTGTGAGGTGCAGGATAGGGACCAGCAGCAGGCCCTCCCGTTACACCCTGGGTGTTCGGGGCTCCAGCCCAGCCTCCTGTGACTCCTCAGCAAGCTCCTCACAATGGGAAGATAAAACCGAATCCAAAGCTGGGAAGGGACCTTCTGCCACAGGCTCTAGCCTGCCTTTCTTGTCCAATGTTTTAATTTGGGGATAGCATGGGAGAAACATGGAGGAAGCTCTAAGATTTTAAAAAAGAAAAACCATCTTTAAAGTTGTTGCGGCCTTTTCTATCGCATGCTGAGTGCTTCCAGTTCCTGCCCAAGTGAACCTCAGAGCCAAGGCAGGCAGCTTCTATTCAGCAACTTTGGAAACAACACTAGTGTCCTTTGGTCTGAAATCAATCCAGACTCACAGAAAAGTGGTGCTGGAAGAAACTGGATGCCGCCTGCTCCTCTTCCTTCTAGGGCCCAGGACTGGCTATGGGGTGCAGTCGCAGGAAACAGATCCATTCAGCTGTGATGCACAGCAGGCAAGAACAATTGCAGGCGAGATTTCTTATGACCCAAAGCAGTGGCTTCGTGGACACTGGTGTCCCGCCGTGAGACCCGTGATGCCATCCTTCACCCTACCTGGATGTCTGGATGGGGATACACGAGAGGCCCCTCCCTCATCCTGCTCCTGATTACGGTTCCCGCCCCAGCACAGCTGTCGCAGGGTTCGGCAGGCCACACAGCGAGTGGGTCCTGGGATGCTGGTCGGGGAGGAGCCTGACCTCACCGCGGCAGTCAGGACCGCAGCGCGACCCACACCCAGCTTCTCGCCTGGATCCTAAGAACACAGCAGCTTTGTTTTGCTTTGCAGCCACCAACAATTTGACCTATTTTTAGAACAGATGAAAAACAACTGAATTCAGTTAAGCAGCATTTTGTCAGAGCACAAGGAATGATGACAAGGACTCTGACCATGGAAGGTCAAAAACAGGGTCATTTTATTTATACACAGAACGACTTATGTACAACTCTCCAATGGGACTATGTACATATCCACACGGCACCTGGGCCAGGTGGTCACCGTATAAATTAGTTCTATAAATACGAGGGGTGCCCACCAGGGCACAAAACCTCTTCTCCAGGGCCTCGCTCCTGCCACACAGACAGGACTGTGGGGCCCTGGGACTCGACACCAACCTGCAGCGCCACTGGGGGGATGTGGGGCAGGCACTGATGGCCACACAGGCCCATCGCCACCTGACAGGTCCCTACACCACCTACACTGGGCCTTTCATTTCTGACTCAGCACAACTGAGCAAGCGGTTTTTACCTGAACTGCTTTTCAGTAACTGTCAACACTGATTGTGAACAACACCCCTGACTACTCAAACCCAGTGCTTCCTAAGAGGAGACAGGATTTGGGGTGGCCATAAGGCCACCAGCAGGCACCATATGCACAGGCCTCTGTCACCATGGTGAGCCGTGTGGGGCCTCCACCTACATTGACTGCTAAGCCCCACAGAACAATCCAAGTACTTCCGCCTCGTGCTGCTTCCCTAGGTGACTCACTGTGTGCACAAGGTCTCGATGCCACCATCATGCAGGATCAGGCAACAGACAGCGAGGCTGGAAAACTAACCTGGGGCAGGCAGGGCAATGCACCCCACCCTCTGGACTAGAAGGACACCAACAGGGGCAGCCCAGTGCCACCTGAGTCTATGCCCAGCCCTGTGGGCATCCCCTGCCCTGCTTATGTATGTCGGACTGACTCAATGCGAGGGCCGGGCATGCCAGTGTCACTGTCCTCTGGTGTGGAGCCACAGCCTGGCAGCCCTCTCCAAGCCGCATTACGACCATCCCTAAAAGGAGAGGAAAAGGCAGGCAGCAGCGCTGAGGGCCAGCACACAGCTATCCCAGGAGCACCCCAGCCACTGGCGCTGCCATCTGCTGGCACCATTAGCCCTGCCCAGGGGGGCAGGTGTAGGGCTAGAGCAGCGTGGGCCTCAGTCAAGAGTGCCCGCAGATAGCAGCAAGCACACCAGCTCTGGCACCAGCAGACAGGAAGCTGCCACAGTGCCAGAGATTCCAAATCTGGAAACTTGTCTGCCCATAGAAGGGGCTTTCCCGGAGTCCAGGCAGCTTCTCCGCCAGACCCACACCTCTCCTCTGCCCCACACTGCTCTCCAGCATCCTGTAGGACAGACAAGATGTCCCCTTGCCACAAATAAGGGGAAGCAGACACAGTGGGAGGACCAGGGACCCTGAGGCAGAGGAGGCTTGTCTGTGAGAACTGCCACCCATGTTCTCGGGCAGGAGGGCTTTCCTTCTCACAGACTGAAACGGGACTGCAAGTGCATCCAGGAAAGTGCACAGCTGTGTTTAAAAACCCTAGGAACAAACGGGACAGTAGCAGTGGGCTGCCTTGCGGGGCTGCCGTGGAGAACCACGGGGCGGCTGTCAGGCACCAAGGACATTCTGGCATGGGGCCACCGTGGGCCGCACCTGGTCATGCTTTCGAGAGCCAGCAGGGTGGAGGTGGTGCCACCTGGAGAGGGGCCCACAGGACCACACAAGGGCATGGCCCAGGCAAGCAGTTTCTACAGAGTACTTGGTGTCCTGGAGGCCAAACCTCACGCACCTGTGGCCCACGACATAGGTCAGTCAGAGTCCAGAGTGGGCAACGCCGTTTGCCCCAGGACTTCAAGCTGGGAAAGGTGGCGTTTTCAAGGTAGCTGTGTTGTTGGTATGTTCGAGACCAGAGCTGTTAGGAATGGGTATCAGAAAGGCTTCCTGTCGCCATCAGGGGGAGTAGCACCATGAGAAAGGCCAGGGCAGCGGCGGCCGGGGCCTCAGTCGCAGGAGGGGCGGGGGATGCACACAGAGAAGGCGGAGGCTAGGCCTCGGTGGCAGGGGCGCTGCGGCTCAGCTCTTTGATGCCACACAGGATCCTCTTCATGTGGCCCACCTTGGTCACGCCGAGGTCCTGTAACAGAGAGGACAGCCACTGTGGGTGCCACAAAGAGGGTGCAGGCCCCAAGGGCTCTGCTCTGAAGCGGGCCTGCTACCGACAGGCTCTTCCCACTTGGCTCTCGCAACACAGATGAGGGTGAAAAGCACAACGCCAGAAAACAAGATGAAAATGGCAAAGTGACTGTCACACAGCTGCCCAACCCATCGCGGCTGGGTTCTACGAAGTCACTGACATGATCAAAAACAGTCCAACGAGACAAAGCCAGAACACAGGCCTGGAGCAGGCAGGTGGCAGGTGGCCCAACCGGAAGAGCCCCACTGACAGCCCCTCCCCACTTCCCACATGGCAGTGGATCCGGTCCGCGTGTGCTGGGCTCTGAAACCGAGTCTCCACTGGCCCATTCCTGTCGAAGCAGAGGGGCCACTTCCCACCCAGGGCTCGCGCCTGGCAGCTTCTGAGTTGGGTAATCACTTAACAACCTGGCTAAGAAGATGCAGGGCTCCCCTGCCGGATCAGCCCTTTGCCTGGCTTGGCTGTGGCAGGTGGAGCCATCACTGCCAAGGCCAAGAGCCACAGCCGCCCATCACCCCAAGGTGCACACAGGCTGAGAACGGTGAGTAGATTGGTGCTGGGCGTGGCCGCGCAGGGAAGAAGGGGCGGAGGAGGGAGCTGTGTGGAAGACACCTGTGCAGTACCTTGAGGTCCCTCCGCTCCAGGTGCAGGAGCTCGGAGCCCCGGATGTCGTGTCGCGTGAAGATGTCCTTATACTCACAGAGACTGAGGTGCTCCAGCCAGGCAGCAACCTCCTCTGTCCCCCAGAGGTGAACTGTCGGAGACGGAAAAGCATGAGTGCAGTGAGTGCCCCAAGCCCAGCGAGAGGCAGGCGGCAGCTGGCACCCAAGACACCCAGCCATGGCACTGTGACAACCCAGCAGCCAGCACCAAAACACCCGAGCGTGGCACCCTGTATCCCCAGCAGCAAGCGCCCACCACCCAGCCATGCAGAAGACACAGTGCAGAAGCCATCAGCCTTCTGGACACCGCCCCTTACACGGACGGGGACATCTTGTGTGGCTAGAACCAGCATCTCCTCTTGCTTCAGAGGAGTGCATCTCATGGCGGGGCCAGAGCAGGAGGGGAGACATGCAGGGTCAATTTCACAGTCAGAGCCACCATCATTAACAGAAACGCAATTTCTGGACAAATGCACCAAGAAAAATCAAAAGGGAGCTGGCCCGAATGGAGGCAGATACCACCCCACAACTCTAAGCACAAGTGCTGGCCAGCACTGAGGGGGCCAAACGCAGCTCAGCGCTCGGGGCTGACCCCCAACAGATTCTAAGCCCCAATTTGCGGCCCTCGTGCCATTTCCTACTGATTGCACCACCCACAATCACTGGTCCGGCTTCCCGGATTAGGGGCCTCAATCAACGACCAGTTAAACCAGGCATCAGCAGCCCATGAGAGGGAGCAGGCACAGTCTAGTCCAGAGTGTCAGGTCTCAAGTTTGTCTTGTCACCTCTGCTTCTCCTCCTCCACCCTGGAAGCCTGAGGCAAGGTGGCCAGCGCCCAGAGGGAAGGAACACAAGTGCTACCGACAGACGAGTGCAGCCCATGACTGCAGGTGACAGCACAGGGACCCAGGGGAAGAGCCAGAAGGCCAAGGGAGAAAGCAGGGCCAGAACAGGCCAGGGTGGCTGGCACTGAAGGCGGCAACACGCAGGAGAGAGCAGGTACCGGGGCCTCCCAGGCTGCTGTGGGCCTCTTTGTTCTTGTTGTTCTTCTCCTTTTTAAACTTGGTCACGAGGCGGAATTTACCACTGCGGCTGCGTTTGGATAGATCTAACATCACATTCTGTTGAGAGAGACACTGAGAATTAGAGCCACTTCATCAAGGTCTCCTGTACCTCCCTGAGAGGTGGGGAAGAAATGCTGTCCTTTAAATGTTTTATTCCCTAATTTGCTCTTGGATGTGTTACTGACACTGATACCTTTCAACCAGGGTTTAAAAGTGGTCACGGTGCCTTCTTTTTAACTGTACTTTCTTCACTTTGTAACAGGCATTTCTCAAGTGATTAAAACTCTCTGGTATTTTTAAATGTCCGTATACACCATTATTCAGAGATTCCTAAAATGAGTGATTTAGCTGGTGTCCTCGTATTTGTGAATTCTGCTTTCCTTCCTTGGGATGCGCTCCCCATGTCAGCAGAGTGGGGGTGGCAACAGGGACAAGGGACATGAGCCTTGGTTCTCGCAGCCAGGCAGCAGCCACCTCCCGACAGAGCAGCCTGGGGACCTCACTTCGTGATGTGTTCCTTTGCAAGAGATACCCAAACAGGCGGAGAGGAAAAGCTGAGAAAGAATACAGCAAGCAAGCGGACTTAAAGATCAAAGAATACTTACTGATAAAAAGGGCTGTCAGGTAAGGACAGAGCCTATGTGTACGTGACAACGTGAGCTGAAAATGTGTAATGCAAAGAGCTACACCGAGCCCCAAAGCCCCGAGAACGTGGATCTGAGGCAGAGGCCTCACCTGCAGGGGCTGTGCCAAAAGGGCAGGGAGGGCAGAGGGAATAAGTTAGAGGCGTCTAGGACCCTGGTTAGAAAGCCTCAGCAGGGACTTCACGGTACCAGCAACACAGCTGCACACATTTCAAAGAACGAGGGATATACAGACAACTGTGTGGAAAAACAAACTTTTAAAGAACTCAAGTACATGCTTATTTGGCAGTTTTATGACTACATAATATATCTTCCAATTAAAGTGATCTTTTGGGCCAGGGATTTAGCTCAGTGGTTCTGCTGCCTGCCTCGAAAGCACAAGGACCCGAGTTTAATTCCTGGTACCAATATAAATATATTAAAGTGATCTTTTCCCTATTGTCTTAGGCAATTTTTTTTTCCTGTGTAATTCAAGCTGGCCTTGAACTTGCTATGTAGCCTAGGATGGCCTTGAACTCACAGCATCTTCCAATCTCGGCCTCCCAACTGCTGGGATTACAGGTGTGCACCACCACACCGGGCTACCATTCTATTTTTGTATCAATGCAGATGACCCCCAACTTAAGGTTTGCCTTTCAGCTTCTCAGCTCTGCGTGACACACTCACACAGCAGTGTGTCTTCCACTTCCAGTGCAGTACTCAGTGAGTTTTGTTCTGAAACAGACCATGCTGGATAACTGAGGTTCATCCACCTCGCACTCTCAGCACCTGAAGGCAGGCGAGGCTAAGCTCGGTGGTAGGCTGGGTGTATCAAAGGCATTTACAACTTACTGTGTGTTTACTGAAGACAGAACTACATCCTAAGCAAAGGAACATGGGCTACATCATTACTTTGGGTTCTTAAAAATTATGTTTCCTATTTTATTCTTAATCTGTGTGGTAAGATTTTGCAATTGTGCTTTTGGATGTACTAGGGACTGAACACAGGGCCTTTGTACTAAGCTACATTCCCAGTCCTTTCTTCATTTTTTTGAGACAGTGTCTCACTAAGTCATCAAGGTGCCCAGGCGGGGCTCAAATTTGTAATTGTCCTGCCTCAGCCTCTGGAGCGGTTGATTACAGGCATGCGTCCCTGCACCTCAGAAGGTTTTATCATGGCACACACTGGAGCGGGGGCCCTTCTCCCTGCCTGCATCCAGGCCAGTTCGCAGCCCTGCCCAATGTACATGGCCCGCAACCCCCTGCATCTGCTTCTGAGTCTCTCCCTGCCCAGGAGGGCATTGTAACAGAGTCCTCGGGAAGGCACATGGGACTCGAATCCAAAGTGCTCTCCATCCCAAAGCCACCGTGTCCAGGGGACGCACGGGAGGCCCACACCCACATACCTCCTCGTCGCCAGGCTCCACAGGCTGGCAGAGCCAGGGCGTGTCCACCAGCTTCCCGAGCTGCCGGTCCATCTCGGCAAGGGCAGCCCTGAGTGTCTCCTTCTGGGGGGGGTCCAGCTGCTGCTCCCCCAAGAGAAAGAGATGCAGCTGGTGACTGCAGCCAAGCCATGTCCCCAGAGCCTGTGCCGGCTGGTGGGGAGCTCTGCTGCCCCAGGAACCCAGCAAAATTCCACACACAAAGCTGTGGCAAGGGGCCCAGCCAGAAGCAGCCTGCCTCAGTGGGCTCAGGCACACAGTGGGACCACGTATGGCAGGGCAGCACAGGGCCTGCGGGTCCCACCATGGGCCCCTCCATCACAAGGGGCCAGGGCTGCACACCTGGCCATATGGCAATGCTGGGAGCAGTGAAGGTGGCGGCTCTGACACTTGGGGGCAGCACGATGCTCGCAGTGAAGAACGGCAAGAGGAGGGATTAGGTGGGGTTCTCCAGTGAGGCCCCTTCATGTCCCTGTTTTACCCCAAGGAGGCCAGACTGGCTGTCACCCCATCCTGGCCTCTACAGCTCAGCATCACCCTGCAGGGCTGCCGTGGGGACAGGGGACACAGCGGGACACCAGAGAACAGACTGCTGAGGCAGAGGGAGCTCTCTGTCCACCCAAGGACAGTGCCAGGCCAGAGACAACCTGGCTGAGACGCCACCACAGAACAGGGCAGCAGCCCCTGGGTGACCAGGTGACCTCAAGGCGCAGGGATCCCTGGACCACACAGTGTTCTCCTCCACGTCCAGCGGCCAGAGCTTACCAGGGCCATCTTCCCAGCCAGCAGCAGTTCCGTCTCACTGCGTAGGGCTCTGACACTGTTCACCATTTCCTGGACAAAGCTGCAGTTCAGCCCCTGAGAGGAACCAAAACACACATCCATGTGGAGGCCGAGGCTGCAGGCATAGAGGGGCCACACTTGAAAAGACCAAGTACCTCTGCAGTCCTGGGCTTGCCATACACTCGGTCCATGGCCTTGGAGCTGGCGTTGACAGCGTGGGCGAGTTCCTGCTCCATGTCTCGGTGGGACTGAGCTATCTCCCGGATGCTAGAGGGAAAGAGCAATGCAGGCTCATCAGGAGGAGGCAAAAGCACACCCCTGCCCCCGGGGACACTCGGTGCAGCCCAAGGGGCTGGCCCAGCAGTCACTTCCTCTTCAACAACAAACAAGTAGAAAGCTCGGAAGGCAAATCTGGCATCAAAATCTAGGGCTTTCTGGGGAAGGAGAGGTGCAGAAAGGCTGACGCTTTGTCCAAAGGCAGCAGCCCAGCAGCCAGCAGCCTGCACCACCTTCCTGGGCTGCCCTGGGGCCAGGCTCTGCAGGAACAGTCCCAGCACACAGCTGAGGGGCAGCCCTTGCAAGGGAGACAGAGGGTACAGCCAGGCTGGGACAGAGGGGCAACTCGTCTGACCAGAGAAGCAGCCTGCAAGGGACAGGGCTAGAGGACACAGACAGGTACACGTCACCCGCCCACTGACCTAGCAGGGGAGGGGGGGCAGGGAGGAGGGAGAGCAGGGCATCCCCATGGGAGGCCAGTGAAGAAGGTGGCATGGGCAAGGGCGCATGGAGGCCCAGGGGCAAGGTGGTGCAGACATCCTGGGGTGCTGCACCTACCAGAGCTAGGCAGGACCCTGGGAAGGGCACAGACTTGAGGAGCCAGCTCCCCAGGGAGAGCAGAGGAGGCCTGGAGAAGCGGGAAGGACAGCCTTGGAGGGAGAGCACTATTGCAGGAGGAATAGTGCGGCCTCGTGGTGCTGGGGAACGCGAACACCATGGAGCACTGTGCCACTGGGGCCGCAGCACATCCAGAGCCAGGTGTCAGAGGCAGCCAGAGGAGAAAACGCCTTTGCAGCCACTTGTTTCTACTGTCTGGAGCGCAGCTGCTCTCAGGACAAAGTGAAGGAGGAGCTGGGGCTGTGCCCAGAAAGCCAGGCTGGGCAGAGGTCTGAGTGGCCCTGTGGCTCAGTAGGGTGATGCAGATCTGAGATCCAGTCAAAGAAACCAAGAGAGGCTGGGAGAAGGCAGGAGGTGGAGCTCACCTGTGGATGAGGACCCCCGCCGCCTGGCCGAACTGGTCCATCTGGGTGGCCTCCTCCTCCGACAGGATCTCCGGGTGCAGTGAGGAGGGCGGGCGGGGCAGCTCGCACTTCTGCTTGTCCTCCCAGGACTTCAATGTGTTCTCAAAGGCCTGGTGCCAGTGCCAGAGTCACACCTCCGACCGTGCCGGGGAGAGCAGCTCCCAGCCCGACAAAGGCAGCAAGGGATAGACACAGTTCCTCAAAATCGCTACCCTGCTAGTCTAATCCTTGCATCTTAAGGAAGGGCCCTAAAACAAAGCACAAAGTGCTCTGGCTCCTCCTTCGTGATCACACACGGGTGAGCCCTGCAACTCGGTGCCAGCCCTGGCCCCTACGCAGCTGTTCTTTGCTGTTTGGTTTTGTGAGACAGGGCCTCACTACACAGTTCAAGATGGGCTCCAAGTCATGGAGCTCCTCCTGCCTCAGTCTCCCCAGTGCTGGGATAACAGGCGTGTGCCACTCACCCTGTCTCTGGTTAGCATCTGTGCCCGGTTCTTGTGGACTATGCGAATGTACCCTGGCGGCTGGATCCAGGCCTCTCCGTCCACCTGCACAGGCACACCCTCGTCGCCCAGGATGGAGATCTTCACCATGCGACACTGCACAGACACCACGGCCATCAGCTGTGTGCCAGGCACTGTGGGGCTCCCTGTGCCGCCACCACCTCTGAAGGAATCCTGTGCCCACAGCCAAGCATAGCTGCCAGGACCCTAGGGCTGCTGCCCCCACCAACCTGCCCTGGTTGGTACGGGAAACTGGCATGCAAATGCGGGTCAGCACCCACGGGCCCTAACAGATGCCAACAGGAAGCCCAATGAGTGGATGAATTCCAGTTTCTCTTTTCAACACAATCATAAAAATGTGATCTTCAAGCAGCCTGATACTGGAGCCAGGCGAGCACAGGGAGACCAGCCAATCCCAGCGTGGTGCAGGCTACTACACTTAAGAACAACACCCCCTGCGCAGGCGGGCAGGCAGCCTTCCCACCCCTGCACCGCACCCTCCCCTCCCCAGCAAGAACCACACCAACTCGCCACTCTGCCGGCCCCATCAAGGCTCAGAACATTCAGTGTGACGTGGGTTTTAAAGGAGCTCTTCTTGGGAGGTTAACTCTGAGTACATGGGAAAGGCTGCAGCCCAGGCAGGAGTGCAGCTGCCGTCTCCCCATAGGGGGTTCCTGCCCTGTGAGCAACTCTGGGGGCCGCTAGACCAGGCCACCTGAGGGGCCGGGCCAGCCCGTGAGGACCCGGGTCAATACCTGGGCGATGCGGTGATGCTGCAGCTTGATCACACGGGACACAGCCATCTGCATGCTGCCAAACACAGCAACCACCTCCAGAATCTTATCGTCAAATGATGGAGCTGTGAAAGTCTGAAAGGGCAGGTGTGAGAGATGAGCCCTGCCCCTCCTCACACACCTAGTGCCCAGCTCAGCTCAGGCCCCTCCCGGCAAGCAGTCACCGCACGCAGGCACGGTAGCTACTGATGCATCACAGACCCTTTTCTGCTCCCTGGGACCAAATCCCACCCTGCCACTCCTGGCTTTGCTCCTATCTCCTGTTTCCTTGTGTCAGAGGGGACAGTGTGGGAAGGAGCTAAGGTGTATGTAATGCAGCCAGCATGGGTGCAGGGAGGCCTCTCCACGGAGCTCGGCAGACGCCTATGCAGTCCCGACCCCACCGCTCTCCTGTTGGCCTCCGCACACTCACCGGATGCAGGAGTCAGGACCTTCCTCCCTCCGAGTGCCCCATGCACCCTGGCCCCCACGTGCACCCCGAGTTCATGCTCCCCTGGACCACTGACAGTGAACTGAACCTCGCCCCTGCCGCTCTAGATGATAAAGGAGCCTGTGCACAAGGCTGTCTGTGCCCACAGCCAGCACTGGGCCGGCGCTCAATGCGCCACATCACAAGACAGCACCCGGTACCTACATCGTCTTCCTTGGTGCCCCCCCAGAAGTTGGTCCCTCCGGCATAGCTGGGAATGTTGAGGACGGCGATTCCCTGGAGACTGGGGAGGGGGATCGGGCGCCCGTCACACTGAGCAGCAGAAACACAGGCAGAGAGAACACGGCCGTGAGCACCCGCTTCCCCGCATGCGCAGCACACACGCAGAGGCGGGCAGCAGGGGCCACAGCCAGCACAGGCCCTCCCCGCTCACCTCCAGCAGGACCTTCTGCTCCAGGTTCTTGTAGGTTCTGTGCAGCAGCTCTTTGGTGCCCAGGACTCCGTACCACATCATGTTCTTGGTCCGACTCCTAGAAACAAGCAAAGCCCTGAGGCAGGTGCAGGCTTCCTTCCCAGCTGACCGAGTTCCTGATGTGAAATGTGCGACAGCCCCAGTCTGGTCACCAACCAGGCACCAGGCTGGGACACAGCTTTATCTCAGAGACATCCAGCAATGGAGTCTGCTAAAAAGAAACACTTCACCAGGAAAATGTACCCTCCACATGGACCAACAAGGGACAGTGAACACCGCCTTCCCCACAGATGGTGCTGGCACAGTGACTCCTTAGCACACTTTTGGTTTTGCTTTGTTTTTTGAGACAGCATCTTGTTATGTACGCCAGGACAGCCTCATACTCACAGCGATCCTGCCTCAGCCTCACAGACACGCACTACCACACCTGGCTATCTGTACAGCTTTGCAGCACCTGCTTCTACCTCAGGCTTAAGACACGCAACCCATTCCGGCAGACCGTGGTAACTGGCTTCCTGGTGTCCAATTCGCCTAACCTGGCCAACCCTTGGGGCGAGCCACTGCCAGGATGGCCTCCTGCTTTCATCAGTACCTCTGCTTCCACAGCTAGGTTACCAGGCTCCGTCTCGGCCTCCCGCCACAGTCTCCTGCCTGTCCTCAACCCCAATGATTCAGAAGCCATGTGCTGCCTGGTGGGAGGAGCCAAGAGGACATGAAGGACACACGGGCTTGCAAGGTAGGCACACCCACCTGCATTTCTCAGGGTGCTCATCCCGCTTGTTGTTAAAGTCCAGCGATATCTTTGCGTCCAGGCCAATGCCGAAGTAGTTGTTCATGACACACTTCTCTGTGTAGTACTCTCTGCGAATGGGAGTTTAAACCAATCACCACAGCCCAGCATGGCAAGTTTGTTTCACAGGCACCTAATTCTGTTTTCCCTTGGAGCAAAACTGGTGTTTCTTTGTGTTTTAGGGGCTGTTTGTTCGCAGTGCCAGCCTTAGAACCCAGGGCCCTGGACCACATTGTGCTACTGTGGATTTAGCAACTGCTTTGCCTCCTCTCCTTTATATTTTTTTGGGGGGTACCAGGGATCAAACTCAGTATCTTACACTTGCAAGGCAGGTGGCAAGCACCAGTAAGCTAAATCCCTGGCCCTCTCCTTTATGTTTTCAGAATTCATCTATATTGCAGTGCCAGTCCAAACAGTATTTGTCCTGTTGTATAAATATACTACATTTTTAAACACTCGTCCACCACTGCCATTAGCACTGTCTTACTGTCTCTCTCTGGTGGACACAGGTTCCTGGATCTCTCACAGGAGGCTATGACAGGACCACTGGGTCACACAGTGACACTGGTTTCCTGTTCTGGGGAACTGCTGGCCCATTTATCAGCAGTTGTGCCGGCAGTGCCAAACAGATCTTTAGGGTGCATAAACCAACATGCCTCAACTCCAGATCTCAAAGCACACCCACACACCCCTAACCTATGAAGCAACCCCCAATGAAAGGAGTGACTTGAAAACAGACACCCAGCCCAGGACCACAGTGCCTCCCTTCCCAGAGCACTGCTGGAGAGACTTGCTCCTCTAGCCCCTGCCCACCCATGCCCACCTCGGCCCTGTCAGCATGGACGCACCTCCTCCACAGCTACAGGGAGGCCCCGCTCCTTTGCCCCAGGGTGCAGAAGGCAGAGCAGGTTCTAGATGTCCCCATAGAAACCCAACAGGGAGGGGAGCTTGGGAATAGGCTTGGACCAGAATTCTGGTACACTCTGCTTAAGGAGTTTGCAGCCCATCTGAGAACCAAACGCCACATGGAAGTGTTCTGATGAAATAGCTAATTCAAGCACCAACAGCTGGCTGAGAGCAATGCTCTGGAACAACATTGTTTTCTAAACTGAAGACCATGTGATTGGCAGTATTTATAGGTCCTGGAAAAAGACAAAACTAACCCAGAAAAAAAAAGGGCAAGGAAGCAGGGGAGACTGGGTGCACAGGCCCAGGGGGGTCGGCAGCAGCTCTGTGGGGCAGGTAGCGTCCTGGGCTGGGTAGAGCCACAGTGCCCGGCGCTGTGCGCGCTGCCTCCCAGGTGAAGAGGAGGCAGGCCCGGCCATCGCCAGGAACTACAGGGATCCCAGATGAGGGAAACGAAGGAAATGTCTGGACGGGGGCCCCCAAGGCAGTGCTCCCAGAGGGACTGTAGCTCTGGTCCTGCATCTGACAGCTCCACCTCCAGGGGACAGCAGAGGCCAGGTGTAGGAACAGGCTGCTGTGTGAGCTACAGGACCAGAACTGAAGTCTAGAGTGGTGTTTTCCCCAATGTGAGGAGCTCCTGTGAACCGAACAAGACCCCACCACGGGTTCCCACCATGCCCCCTGCTGCACAGAACCCTGCCACCGGCCAGCAGGATGACAAACGGAGATGGTGGTTTCTTTAGTTTGCAAATATTGTTTCTATCAGCAGTGGTCTCTAACACACAAGGCTCATTAAGTGGCTCCGTAAATATCCTCCCTCACTGCCTCATGACCTTTAGAGGAAGTGGCCACATCCTCATAGGACAGCAGCCCGGGCTTCTCCCTGAAAGTCCAAACAATACAGCGTCTCCCTGGGGGCCACAAGCCATGGGGGACAACTCCCATCTGGCTTTTCAGCCTTGGAATCCAGGGATCTTCGTCACCAATGAGGGAAAGGGGGTGCGGGGCCTGGAGAGGAAAGAAGCTTTGCTTTGGGAGCCTGACAACTGCAGGTGACCACAAACAAGCACAAACCAAGCCCCCCGAGGTGACTGAGTGGGAGGACACGGGTGGGGCCTACTGCAGGGCCCAGACGAGGCCACCACGAGCCCTGCACACCCTCTCTGCCTTCCTGCAGCTAGCTCATGGCAATGGCTCTGTCTCTCTCCTTACACTGAGCTTCAGTTTTAGACCTCCTCAGTGTCTGACACAAACTGGAAAGGGAGCAGCTGGCCAGTTGCTCACGGCCTGCCCCAGTTAACTCCGAAGTCCATTTCTTTTAACAGAATGCCCCTCAGTGCACCCTCATACTCACAGGTTTTCTGGCTCAGCATTAAAGGGATCAGCATTAATCAGTAGGCGGCTGATGACTGAGCCACCAGGCAAGGAACCGGACATCCCAGCCCGAACGCCTGCGGGACACAAGGGAGGCTCCATGAGGAGCTGCAGACCATGTCCTGTGAAACATCATCATTAAACAGTACCAAAACGAGTGACCACACTTTGACAATTAGAGTAAAAATCACCACCACCATCCCATATATATCAAACAAAAATAGGTATGTTGGGCAGCAGGGTCCAACACCTACAAGACACCTGAAAACTCTTCCTGGCTACCTGGACACTGCTTGGGCTTTACCCAGACACGAATGCTGAAGTCACGCCTATCTCTCTGTGGACCTGTAAGCGCTCACTCAAGAGAGCCACGGGCAGTAACACTGTCGTATCCGTGCCAGGCCAGTACCCAGTGAAGTGACAGGCCTGGCCACCGCTAGGGAGCGTGGGGCGCCCCACCCCTGCCTGCCCACCCACCCACGCAGAGAGGCCGGGCCGCCACACGCACTTGGGTACAGGATCTTGGTGTTCAGCGCCGGCAGGCCGTCCCGGCTTCCCGTGTGAGGAGGAAGAGAGGCAGAGCTGCCCACAGACAGAGCCCCTTTGCTCATCAGCTTTTCACAAGGGGAGCGTGATGCTGTGAAGCAGGACAGAGCCCGTCAGACCATCCAAACCAACACAGCAGAAATCCCGAGGGCTGGAGCAAAATGGACAGACAGGGACCGTGGGCAGAGGGGAGGGCTGCAAACCACTGTCACCCAGCATGGGGTGAGAGGAAGGAAGAGGCCTGGGCGAGAGGAGGAGAGGTAAGAGGGCCTGCATAACAGCCAACCCTGGATTCATCTGGGGGGCGGCAGGGACCACAGATGGCCGCCTAGGACGGAGGGGCTCATCACTCCCGACCACAGTCTGGGAGCAGAAGGTGCGGTCCACACACAGGCAGAGCCGCAAGTGCCCGCCACCCAGCTCTGAGCACATCCATCAGCTGCCTGGCCAGGCTGCTCTACCCCTGCAGGACCCAGGTCCCCACATGAGCAGTCGGGGGAAGGGATGGATGCCAGGCACTGGTGTCCCCAAACTACACACCTCAGGTGACACACGCCTGTGCCAGGAGGTTGGACACAGCCCAGGGCCAAAGCAACTCCAAGCAAGCTCCCAAAAGCTGGCAGCAGGCGTGCTCACACGTCCTCAAAACTGAAGCCTGGCCCCTCACACCCGTACCTTTGCGGTGGCTCCTCCCCTTGGGGACCCCACAGCCCTCGCTGTGGGCCGGTGGTGGGCACACATTGTCGTCCTTCCTCGGATCCGTCTTCTCCTCTGATGCAGACAGGCCCAGTACAAAGCCCTCCTGCTCCTGGGTCTGGGCATTCTGTTCATCGACAGCTGGCAAGAAGAGGGCACTGCAGCTGAGCCTAAGGGCCTGGCGGGCTGTGCCCCCCCAGTGCCCCCAAGGGCTCGGGCCAGAGCTCCACCGCAGCCCACCCTCCCCCAGCCCTCAGCTGACAGGCACAGGAGGCCACGGAGGGAGCCAGGGTGACGCAGCATGGCCGTCACCACAGGGCTCACTGCTCAGAGGAGAGGGGAGGCTGTCAAGTGGCTTCTGAGGACGGGTGCGGGGGAGAGCACCTCACTTCCTGCGCAGGCCGGGGGCGGGGGACGTGTGCGAGGATGAGCGGCAAAGGCCAAACGCAGGGTGGTGCCTCGGGTGCCCCTTTGGCTCCATCACCAGAGGCCCACTACCTCTCTCCGTGTGCTCTATGATCTGGCGGATCGCCTTCTTCAGGCTGTTGGCTCGCAGCATGAGCTGCTCCCGGGGCCGGAAGATCTGTGGTCGGGCAGGGCACGCCGAGCCCCCCAGGCGTCCCCCGGCAGAGCCGCAGATGCTGCCCGCCCCGTCACCGTCTTCGGCCTCCTCGGCAATGGTCGGGGGTGGGTTGGGCAGCGAGGACGAGGCCTGGGACTCATCATCCAAGGTCTTGAGGAGCAAGTCCAACTTCTCTTTCAGGACAGAGCACTAGATGGGCACACGCTGGCATGAAGAATGCACCCTCCGCACCACCCTCCCACCGGGTCCAGGGACAGACCTTCTTCGCCATGACCTCCGACTCCTCCGAGCTCTCGGTCGTCTTCTCGTAGGCCTTACCCACTCGGGCCACAAAGTCCTTCACTGTCTCGCAGAGCACCCTGGGGGACAGAATGGGCTGGGACCACAGGCACCCCTGGGTGAGGCCCTGCCTTCCCGAGGCCGCACACTCACTTGGCTGAGGAGATCACCACAGAGTGCTGGTCCGAGGTGAGGATTTTAGAAAGGTGGGCTGCCACTGAGTCTTCATAGAAGAGAATCTGCTGTACCTGCAACCGCCCCAGAGCATAGAGGCTGATGACCCCGAGTCCGAGGGCTTTTCCCGCCACGCCCACAAGGGGGAAAGGCAGTGCCAGTGCCTGACAGTCCCTGCCTCCTCAGCCAAAGCCTCAGCTCACTTCAGAGGCAACAAGAGCCACAGTGCCAGAAGCTCTGTTGAGCTGTGGACAGACTGAGAGACGTGTGAACGAAGAGCGACCTGTCAAAAGAGATGCTCTCTCTCTCGCTTAGCCTGAGGTCACGAAACAGCCTGCGAGGGCCTCTGCTCCATAACCAGCTATCTTCAGTGACAGGCACTAGATGGGGGAGGCCACATCTGCTGTCAGGCCATGAATTCCAACACAGGAGGACACAGGAGGACGAAACCAGGCCCCTCCTGCTGGCCCCTGACTGCCGACAGACACGGGGCTGCTCTTGGCCTACCCAGGTCTGCAAGCTTCACTAGTGGCCCAGGAGAGTGCTGTGAGCTTTGCACACACTCTTTCTCTCAAAAAAAGGCCAAACCAGTGTTGGCTGGTGAGGCCACCCTGGCACGCAGCCCACAGCCTGCAGCCTCGTTTACCGGCCACTGCCCTGGCCCCCTTGGTTGTCAGACCCTCCAGGCAGAGCCAGGCTTCATGCAGCCAGCAGCCAGTTCAGCACGGATGAGTACTGCCGTGTGCCCAGCACTGTACCAGGGCAGGGCGTCACGAGGAGGGAGGCAGGAAGATGAGGAATGAGGAGATGAAGCCAACATTAACGGCCGCTGACCTAACAGAACTCACGGCTGGACCGTAGCAGGCTCGGAATGGGGCTGAAGTCAGAGGGAGTTGGGCAGGGCAAGGGTATGGGGGCAGGGGCTTCGGGGAACTGGGAGGCCCGGGCCAGGAGCACAAACTCTGCAGGGGACACAAGGAAGCCGGGCAAGGTCACAGGGTCACAAAGCCAACAGTGAGCACCCGCCAGCTGTGTCCCTGCAGTGCGCTCCGGAGCACAGGGTAAGGCCCCGAGCCTGTTCAGAGGGCAGGCCTAGCATGCCTGAGGCCCTGGGTTCCGTCCTGCATCACACATCACAGGCAGCAGTACCTCAGAGTCCTCGCTGAAGTCTTCGGTGACGGTGGAGGAGGAGGCCTGCCGAGGGAGCTTGGTCTCATACGCCATGACGCTCCACCTGCACGGAAGCGCCGCTCAGCCGGGCCCCCAGGGCAGTCCCTCACCCTCGCTCTGCCTGGCCAGACGACCCGGTCTTAGCATCATCTGACTGCACTTACCCCCCTGCTCTGCCCTGCTTCCGTGACTTGGCTCTCTGACCTGTCTGAGAGCCGTCTCCTCCCCACCACAGGGAGTGTGAAGGGACCCAGGAGAAGCAACACCACCCACCAGAGAGGGGCCAGGAAGCCAGCAGAGGCTCCCCATGAGCAGCTGTCCTGGAGGAAAGATGCTGCTGCTGGGAGAGACTAGGCTCCCTCCCAAGGGAGCTAACCCCACAAAGCACTGAGCCTGTGCCACCTGGCACCACAGCCCTCCATCCTCCCTGCTAAGGCGGTGGCCCGCTGGCGGGAAGGCGGGGCATCATGAGCACCCTGGGCCGGAACTCCACAGTCCAGGGATGACAGCAGTGCTTTCACCATCACCCCAGGGCCACAGCATGTGGTCGGTAGGATGCTATCATCCAGCTCAGAACCAGAAGCATCCACTGGAGGAAACCCTGGAGAATAATTACCCAAAACTACTTCTCTGAGAACAGAACACAGGACAATGGAACCACTCAAGCATGTGACCGACCACGAGCTCTTTGCCAATGGCCTGGCCAAGATGGCCAAAGGCTGGAGTTCCCTTCTCTGCAGCCCTGAAGGTGTGGCCTCGTAAGAAGACCTGACCATTCTAGAGCACGCTTCTTAACCTGTGTTGTTTGGATCTTTTTTATAATCTGACCAAAGCCCAAAAACAATCAAAAAGGGAATATATGTTTAGGTCCAACCTTCACAGCCAATGTCACAGGGAGCCTGGGCCCACAGCACCCCTACATGGCATGACGGCCCCACTCACCTGTCCAGCATCTTCGTGCTGGCCCTCTCCAGCTTTGCCAAGATCTGGGGGAGCTGGGTGTCATCGTCACAGGCCGCGCCCCAGCCAAGTACTCGGGCCAGGTCATTCCCCGTCCCCAGGGGCAGCACTCCCAGCTGACACTAACAGAAAAAGGTGGGGGAGACGTGCACTCAAAACACAGGAGAAGCAGCCCCCACCCCGCTGCCCACTGGTGGCCTGCAGCGATGGCCTCACTAAATGTGTGCAAGAGAGACCCTGTGTGACCAGCACTTCCTGGCAGAGCCCACTGGAGGGGACAGACATCTCTGTGACGCAGATGCCAGGGTCCACAAGCCCCTCACCTGTAGAAGCACACCTCTCAGCTGTTCCCTATCCTGACAACATATCCACCCAGACCTCTGGGGCCTCAGTGTCCGAAGTCCTTTCTTCCCTCTTGACCTTTATGCAATGCACACACCTGCAGGACGGTCTGTGACGCCCCACCTATCTCATCCGCTCCAGCATCTAAATGACCAAAGCCAAATCCCCCTTCCACAATCATCATCAGTATCACTCCGTGCCTCTTCACACGCCTCGGATGGCTTCTCAGTCTGGTCAAAATAAACAGGCCAGGGCCACCCACTGAGCAGACACCCAGGCCCAATACACATCCTCCACCTGCCACTGCCCAGAGCGTCGCCCTGCACCTGGCACTCCCACCCCAGACCTCCCCCATCCCTGCACCCAGGTCTATGCTCAGGGTCCAGAGATGGGGCTGCAGTCGACGCTCACCACACAGTAACGGATCTGAGCACAGCTGTGGGGGTCACACATCCCGCACTGCCTATGGCACCACACAGTGCCGTGCCCTCCCCTGCCAGCCTATGGGGACAGCAGCCTGACGGGCCAGGCAGGGGGTGGGAGTGAACGCTCGAGGGCACAGACAGGAGGGGCTGGGGCTCTGCAGAGGCTTCCAGGAGCTCACAGAAAAAGAACCAAGCAACGCACCAAAGGTTTGGGGGTGTTCCAGTTGCCAAGGTGCCACACAGAGAAGAGACCCTTAGGGCTCTGAGGGAAGAGGAAGCAGACAAGGAGCTCTGGTGAGGTCCACTGTCAGGTTGGACCCCGCCCACTGTGGGGCTGAAGAGGGGCACCCAGATGAGCGGTGGACACATGGGGTGTGAACAGGTGGCAGCTCAGCAACACAAATGACCTAGACGGGGAGGAGGCAGCAGAATGGCACCCGAAATTGCAGCAGGGAAGGAGGGGGCCACAGAATCAAGAGCAACTGAGACTTCTACTCAGACCCCTGAATGGACTGTGGCTTCAGACTGCACAGAAAGACCACAGAAAGGGGTGGGGGACAACTTGGAGCTGGCGATCTGCAGCACTGAGCCAGGAGGCCCAGGAAATCCCAGGGGAGACACGGCAGCAAAGTCCCTGCATGTCACTGAGGCTGAAGAAGTGTGTGAAGGAGGAGGCCCAGAAGACTCTGCCAAAGGGAATGAAAAGGGAGCCCAGAGAAGAAATGCTACCAGGCGTAGGGGGTCCGGGGAAGCCGGGAAGGAGAGGGAGTGGCCGGAGCACCGAGGGCCACATAGAAATCAGAGAAAAATGCTCACAAAAGTCAGTAGGCTGAATGGATGAAATGAAATGAATCCCTAGATTTTACTGTATCCTCAACCAGTGAATCCTGAAATACTAATCCACCAAACCAACAAAACTATGTGGACTGCTCTGGCCCACCACTAGTGGGTGCTGTTTCCCTTTCCTGAGCTCTGGCCTGGCTGGCCAGCATGGTAAGTCCTGGCGTTACATACCTGTGACACAGCCATCCAAAGCGGGAGGCAAGCTCACTGAAAAATGTGCTCCAGGCACAGAGAAATTCAACTGTTTTTTTTTTTTTTCCTGATATCTGGGATGGAACTCAGGACCTTGCGATTTCGAGGCACGCAAGGTACCAACTGAGCTAAATCACTGGCGCTGGATTTTTTTAAAAGGACCCTAACAATGGGCCAGAGTGTAGCTTGGTATAGTGTGTGCGGGCCAGAGGGTGGGGGCATAACAAGCACAGCGTAAGACAACGCGGACCAACCAGCTGTAAACTGGCAATCGGACGCAGCCAGGTGTCTCAACAGGACAAATGTCAAGAACCATGAAGACAAGGACAACAGCAAAAAGAATGCCGATGACATATGACAAACTGGGGCACAAAATCTGTGAAAACAGACAATATGACAATAATCAGACGTCAGTTTTTATAAATAAACTGAATTTTACAAAAGAAAATGAGGAAAAAACGTAAAAAGACAACTCATTTAAAACCTTGTCAATTGAGACAATGCTTGACTTAACAATAATTGAAGAAATAAAAATAAGACTTTCAATCTGGTTAGTTGGTCAGATCTGAAATGCCGAGCCCCAGGAGCAGAGGGCACGTGGGCCGGCACAGCCCTGACAGGGGGAATCGGGCTCCTGGGGCCCTGGAAAAACCAAGGACTCAGAGGTGTCCCTGAGCCACTGAGCTCCAGGCACAGGAGGTGAGCAGCCCCAGCCCAGTCCGCCCCAGGACACGGCCACACGGAGCGGCTGAGGTGAGCGAGCGCAAGGCGCGTGCCATCCACTGAGGGCAGAGTGCAGGGAGGGGCAAGCGGGGATGGCGAGAGTCTGCTTCAAACTGTGTCACGCACTGTGCCGCACGCACCTGGACACGAGTCTGAGACAGTCACAGAGGTGTAAAAACCCAATGAATACGTAATCTGGAAAATCTATTTTTATCTTAATACAAAAAACTACATCTAATGAGCCACAATAAAACCGAGGAGCTGAAGTGCCTTCCCTACCCCTCCTCCGAGGCCAGAGGCACCAAGCAAGAGTAGGCCACGTCATTACTCAGTGAAGAGCCTGGCAAGGAGGGCAGAAGCCCCCAGACCTGAAGGGCCCTGGCGCCTGAGGTAGTTCCCTTCACCCGAAAGAACTTCCCTTGCATCCACCACGCAGGACCTGGGACTCCCAGGGTGCCCTGGGGCTCCCGTCCTGCTCCCTGCTCCTGCGCTCTGACCACAAACTGCACCACCTCCAACCTCTTTGCTGGCCCAGCCAGGGGGCTGGAGCCCTGAACCACGTGGGGCACAGACTGCTCCACTCTCTGCCCTGGCCCCGCCACCCCAGGCCAGGCTCCCCCACCAGGCACCTGCTTGTGAAGGTTGAGGCTGTCGATTTCAGAGAGGACCCAGCCAACACTACCATCCCCGCCACAAACCAGAATCCGGAAGGTGTCAAACTTCTGGAATAACCGCAAGCTGCAGAGAAAAGAGAGTCAGTGAGACGACTTGCAGTCCTGGGGAGCTCCGTCAGCAGAGGCCTGGCCAGCCCCCGAGCCAGGGCCAGGGTCCCCCCACAGGAAAGGCTGGAGACATTGTACCCTGAGCAGCAACAGACTCCACACGGCATCCCTGGTGCCCTGGTGCGCTAGCACCCATGCCCCCGCCACCTGTGACTGCCCCCTGCTGCACCCCTGCACCACCTTGCACTGAGAGCCTTGGCACTCGAGCGCAGGCCTGGCGGGCAGGTCTCTGCCTAGCACCTGCATGTCCCCTGCCTGTCCCCTCAACAGCAGTTACACCACAGTGAGGTGACCCAGACCCACCCCCTGTAAGTCTTTCTGAGTCTCCTTCCTGGGCTCCTGCTGATCGCGCGGCCCCCATGCAGGGTCCCAACCCAGGGTACCCCGCTGCCTCCCACTCATTCCTCACCTTTCTCCTGCTGAGCCTCACCCATGTTTTGGCCCCAGCAACAGCACCAGTGCTGATGACTCTGAATCCACAGCCCCACACAACTGCACCTGGTTGCCAGGATGTCTCCAGCAGGACACTTCCCTCCTCAAGGACAAGCCCAGCTGGCCTGCCGGCCCCCTTTACACTCCCCCCTGCCCTCACTATGCCCGGCCAGGGTCAGCCGCTTCTCTTCCTGAGTCCCATCAAGTCCCTCACCTGAGGGTGCCCACCTCATCTCCAGGAAAGAGTCAAACCTCTCAGCGAGAACCACAGCCCTCCCTTGCCAGCAGCTGCCTGTGTCCACCAGGCCTGACCCAGTGCCCACCCGTGCACGTGGACGGAAATGGGCAGAGGGCACAGCATGCTCGCCAACTCCGCTGGACACAAGCACAGTGAAGACAGAGGCCGGCCTGACTCACAGCTCCTCTCTGGGCCTCCAGAGAGTCAGGGCATCACCACACCAAAGCAGCCCTGACTGTCCACGTGTGCCCAGCCATTGGGGCCTGCAGACCCTGTGTTGGCACAGCTGGCCCAGGAAGTGCTCAGAACACAAGCAGGGCAGGTGACAGGTGCTGGCCTCAGGGCCGAACAGGGCCACATTCTGAGCAGCAAGGCTGCACCTGATCTCAGGTGACGCCAAGGGTCCACGCACGTCCTCTGAGACACTGGCTTCCAAGAGGCCACTGCTCTCCCGAGGGGAGGTGGCAGGTGGAGGCTGGGACTTGGAAAGGAGATGTAGCAGGTCAATGTCCTGTTTTGACCAGGTTGAGGTCAGGGGACTCCCAGTTCCCAGGAGCAGGGAGGAAGTGAACCAACCTTAGCTCCGTGGGGCCTCCTACTGTCTCTTCACATACCTTTTTTTTTTCTTTTGCAGTACTGGGAAATGAACCCAGGACCTCTCAGCCCTTTATTTTTTAATTTTAAGACAGAGTCTAAGTTGCTAAATGGCTCAAACTTTTGGTCTTCCTGCCTCAGCCTCCCAGAGGGCCAGCCGGGATCACAGGCATGTGCCACTACACCCAGTTGTCATCACATCCTTAACTCTGACTACAAACTGTAGAACTGTATGTATGCACCAGAATTAGTTTTTAATTATTCTCCACCACAAAGCACTCAGCCAGTATCCTTGGCAGCCCATCAAGCGCACCTGAGCTGCTCAGCCTAGTGCTACAAGAGTCTCAAGACCTCCCTTTCCCTTTGTTAACTGAGGTGCGGGTGAACGTGACCCACGAGATCAGAGGAGAGGCTGCCTGAGGGCTGGGGAGCACTGCCTTTGAGCAGACGAGCTGTCCTGTGGGGGCTTCTGCCCAGCAGGCCTCCCTGCAAGCGGGGAAGCCGACCCCTAAGAGAAGCGGAGAACAGCAGCAGCACAGAAACACAGTGAGTCGGCCCAGCTCACAGCCAAATGGCGAGCACAGACACACTGAGAGCCCGCATGCCCTCTCAGAGCCCTGCCTTGAACCAGCGCACCCCGAGGAGGACAGAACTGGGGCAAATGGCAGAGCTTATAGAAGCACATGGTTTCTACAAAGGTGCGCAAAGTTCTAAATGAAAGGAACACACACAGGACCCCAGCCTGCAGATGCATAGCATGCACCCCAGGCCCCACATGCACCAAGGGGAAACAGCCGTGGCCTCCCTGGAGAGAAGCTCCTTCCTGGGTACTGGGCAGCTGGCAAGGAGAGGTGGCGGGTCTGTGAGCCCTGACAAGGAAACACCTGAGCTGCGCAGGATGCCTGTGCACAGCAGGCTGCACAACAGCAGCTCAAGTGGGCCCCGGCCAGTTTAGAAGGTGCATGCACGTGTGTGCAAACCTCCGTTGGTTAGTAAGAGCAGGTCCCTCCCTCTTCAGGTAGAATTTGGAGAGGGGCGGTTCAAGACAAACTTTCTATTTGAAATTTTCCATACTGTCGATCTTTTACAAACAAGCTAGTCTTATTTAGAAAACAGCAAAACTCCAAAACAGACACGTTTTATGAGCCTCCTACCCGAGGTGCGGTCCTCCGTTCATGAGGTCAAAGACCTGGGCAGGGTTCAACAGCTGCTTGAATCTTCTGAGGAACTTCACGCCCTGGTTGTCCCCGCTTTTAGAATTGACAAAGACCAGTAGGGGACTTGTGCAAGATGGGGGACAGGTGGCCTTCCAGAACCCTAGATGTGAGACAGAAGAACCTATGAAAGCCGTGAAGGGGGTGGGGGTTGCAAACAGTGAGCAGCAGCAGACGGTGCAGGGGACAGAGGACTCACACACACATGCCACTAACTCAGTGAGGGCAAGCAAGCGTGATTCCACACTGCCGCCCGACCTGACCTCCCCTTTACAGGGGCTCCAAACTACGCTTATCACTGCACTGCCCACCCATCTGCAAGGTACTTCCTGAGCCACACCACACAGAGCCCCTTCACCAGTCAGCACACAGCACCATGGACCAGCCTGCTCGAGCCAGCCACATGGGACGGGTGCAGCTCCTGCAGCTTCCGGCAGAGTCAGAGGCCACAGGACCACCCAAGAGTAAATGCACCCATCACCTTCGGGGAAATGGCAGCCTCAATTCTTAAATAGGTCCACAGCAACTTTCAGGATGCCTCTTTCCTCCTCCACGGCCTCCTCCCACCCTCGGCTATGCCCACATCAACGTCACCAAGACCCATCTCGCGGCAGACCCACCATCGGAGTCAATGCTGTTGAGCGCCGTGGGCGGGATGACTGACACCTTGCACAGGCCGAGCGGGCACTTGGTCACTAAGGACTCTTTACACACCGTGTGAACCTGGAACAAAGTGGCCGTTACCAGGGCTCCCCAGCCTCCCACACGCACCAGAGTGCCTGGGGTGGAGAAGCAGGCACTGCTGGACAGCCAACCTGCTCCCACCAGGCACAGAGTCCTGGCCTCACTCTGCTGGACCGGTGCTGCTCACAGATGCGGAGGAAAGCCTAGCACTGGCCCTGCAGTCACTGGGAACTACCAGGATCAAGGCCTGGGCACCTGGGCAGTGGCCTCTGGGTGCCCACCTTTGCCTCAGCTCCTCCTGGCCAGCCCTGCTCCAACCAGGGGACTGCATAACGCCCTCAACAGCCAGCCCAACGCCCGGCATGTGGGGCTCCCCTCGCCAGCCACTCACCATGGCCTTGCACCAGAGGCAGCGCCAATCCTGCAGGCGCAGCACGCTGCCGCAGGTCTTCTCACACACCGTGCACTTGGCGCTCACGGGCAGGTTTCCTTCCAGCCACTGGTGGGGCATGGCGATCTGCGGTGCAAGCAGGGACATGCTAGTGAGTCCCAAACCCTGACAAGCCAGCCAGAGCCCGGGGACAGAAGAGCTCCGTGTGACCTCGGCTGAGACACTCCCCAACCCCGGGACCAGCAGGGACAGTGTCCACAGCGCCTGGCAGGCAGGGCGCAGTGAATCTGGGGATCAGGATGGCAGGGAGAGCAGGCGCTTGGATGCAACAGCGGGGCAGGGGCCCTCGCATGTACCCCGTCCTCGTCCTCGATGATGTCCTTCCCGATCGAGGCCAGGGTGGTCCACTTGCAGTTATTGGTTGCGCGGACAGCACACCGCTTGTGGGCCTTAAATTTGCACACTGTGAGAGGAGAAGCAAAGGAAGTGACAGGTACCTCTATGCAGGGCAGGCAACTCGTCAGGGAAGCTGGGGTTGCCGGGAGCTTCCCCTCTCTCACAGCCCATGGAGAGCCTCAGCCTGTGACAGGAACACAGCAGGGAGGTGCCACAGACCCTGTATGCGGCTGACACATACAGCCTCAGCTCTGCCTCTCCAGCATGAGGACAGAGCAGGAGGTTTGTGCACTCTAGTCTGAATGTCACTGGACTTCATGGGCTACACAATCGTCTTTTGCTTTTGTTTTTTGAGACAGGGTCTTACTATGTAGTTCAGACTGCTCTAGAACTCACTGTGTAGCCCAGGCTGGTCTCCAACTCACAGCGATCCTCCTGCCTCAGCCTCCTGAGTGCTGGGATTACAGGGGTGCGCCACCACGCCCGGCTCACAATGTCTTCTAAATCTTCTCAACCACTTATTTGTTTTGTTTTGTTTTGTTTTGTTTGAGACGGTGTTTCCCTATGCAGTTCATGCTGGCCTTGAACTCACTATGTAGCCCAGGCTGGCCTCAAACTCTCAGTGATCCTTCCGCCACAGCCTCCTGAGTAGCAGAATTACAGGAGTGCACCACCACACCTGGCTCTTTTCAACCATTTAAAATGTAAAACCCAGTCAAGCTCACAAACTATACAAACTATGCAGCAGTCAGGACCTGGCCACAGGCTCGCATCCCCTACCAGAAGCCCCTATGTGGTCACCAGCATGGACCTCAAGTTCTGTGAGGCAACTTTGATCCCTGTCTCCACGGCCCAGACAGCAGTGCCTATGTGCTCCATGTCTACCATTTTCCTTCACAAAAGCTGGTTTAATGGACTCCTCTGTAGGTAAAACACATAAGAATGCAGCAGGAGACCTCTGACTGACCACTGCAGGGTGGATAACAGCTTCTTTACTGTGACTGTGTTTGGATTTCCCAGGCAAGAGAAAAACAAAGGCAGCTCATACCTTCACAGGACAGCCCATGGGATGTGACCCCCGACAGGGCCTCCCGACACACATTGCAGTAGGTCGGCCGTGCATGAGAACAGGCATACCAGTTGTGCGTCCCTGAGAAATGATCCATGCTGTACTGGGTGGGCTGAAAGGGCAAAACAGACAGCAAAGGTAAAAATGCCCTTCCAGACTCTCAATAGAGCAACCTGACAGGATGAAATGCAGTGTCCCAGAGAGCAGGATGGTGTGCGAAGGACAGGGCACAGCATGCCAGGTCTGCAGAGAGGCAGCCTTTGCCACACAAGGCCTGGGCAGAGGCCACACAGGCACAGCGAGACCTGAAGCACCTACGTGCAAGAGGATGCACGTGGAAGTAGGCTTTCTAACCTCGAAATGCTCCCTGTTCTGCACGGTCTTGAGCGCTGCCATCCAGTCCTCCATCTCTTTCCTGTTATCAGCACACAGGATGAGTTTCCTACAGGGAGTGATGACCTGGAGGAGGAACACACAATGCACCCTGAGCCAGGCCAACTGCTGCGGGAAATGTTTCAAAGCCCACCTTCAGAAGTGCACGCTGTATACACCTACGAGGGAAACAGCCTTTCATTCAGACATGCACACTGAGCAGACATAATGTGGTTATCACAGGTCACTAAATATCAAGAACAATCTCCAACTAGAAAGAATAAAATTTAGTTTATATATTCATCAGCAATCAACCTAATCGAATATTTACAACTATTCATTGCTGAGATACAAGTAATAAGGCCTAGGAAACCCTGAGGGGAAAACAGCAGCCTTATTCCAGAAAGCCTGCACCTGATGCCCAGCCCTGAACAGCCAGTGACTCTAGAGCCTCGTAACGTGTGCAGGCGTCACACTATGTGAAAGGACGACCAGCTGCTTCAGTCAGGGCCCCAACAACCTAGTTCACCACAAACCTGGCAATGTTCAACAAATGAAAATGCTTTCCACGAAACAGAGATTTTACAAATCAATAAAAACCTTTCTGATAGAAAAAAGGCTGTCGGGCCGGGGGTTCAGCTCAACAGCACTGAGCCTGCCTTGAAAGCACAAAGTCCTGAGTTTCATCCCTGGTACCCCACACACAAAAGCAAAAACTTCCTGTTTTAAGCCAGGCATGCTGGCCATTCACACCTGTGATCCTGGCATTCTGGGAAGCTGAGACAGAAGGACTGCAAGTTCAAAGACAGCCTGGGCCGCAGAGTTCATTCGAGGTTAACCTGGACTACGTAGTGAGGCCCTATCTCAAATAAGTAAATAAAGAAATAAAATAAATCCCATCTTAAATAGTACCACTTGAATGGGGTTTTCTTTTTGGTACCGGGGATCAAACTCACCACCTTGAGCTTGTGAAGCAGGTGCAGAGTCACTGAGGTAAATCCCCAGCCCAGTCTTTTCCTCTTTTTACCACTCAAGCACTGGGATAAACCCTGAGACGTGGACAGCCCCCACAGAGTAAACGCAGAGGAACTTCCTGGCCACTGCCACATCCCTTTCACAGGAGTTATCCCAACCTGTATTCCCACCAGCAGGATGAGGAAAATGCCTATGTCCCTGGGGACCCACCAATAGCCCGTGACTTCACTTCTGGATTCTTGCCTGCCATAACACTCTACCTTTCTTTAAGGGGCTGTGGATGTAGCTTAGTGGTTCTGCCACCTGACACAAGCGCAAGGTCCTGAGTTCAATCCCCAGTACCAAAAAAAAAAAAATCTAATGTACCTTACATTAAGAAGGCCCAGGGCCCCGATCCACCGCGGGACAGACAGCCAGGCCTGCTCCCGACCCAGCCGCCATCCCTCAAGTGCCAGGAAGGTAGCCGCACGGGTGCCCCTGAACCCCCATAACCACCCCCCCACACTCTCAGACCTCCTGACTGTGCCAGTCTTTGGACCCACTCTGCAGAGGCAGAGGTGGTCATCAAGGGTATTTTTCTGAGTTCCCAACTTTGAACATCTTTAAAGAAAGGGCATGGGAAACCTGTAGTAGAACGTTGTGGAGTTCAACCATTCAGAAGGTTGGGGATTTCAATCTGGGCCTTGCAGCCCAAGGTCAGTCAGGGTCATGGGGTTCAGCCATCAGCTAACTGAGACCAGGGGACTTGCATCCTCGCTCCATCTGAGCCATTAAATGGTAAATACACTATATTGAAATTTTGTTCTCTGCAGACATGTTCTAGACTGCTTCTTGATTTCAATTTAATTCAAATGATTTAAGGGTGATAGACTAGTGACTACCACAGATGATCAGTGTCCAAGTTGTGCTTGATCTTAATGTGCTGCTGATTGTATCAGTTGGGATAAAGCATTGCGGTTGATTTGATGAGCTGTTTCTCTGATGTTGTGAAGATGACAATGTCTGTGGGTCGTTAGAGACACAGAAGCTAAGGCGCAAATATATCAGGAAGATTTGGGTGATAATCCAGAGATTAAACTAAGGACAGTCCGACAACAAAAATAAAAATGAGAAAACACTTAAGCAAGACACAAGGACAGACTTCCAGTTCACCAATGGCAAACAGTAGGGCAAATGAGGATGAAAACCCCGACAGTGAACCACCGGAACACCCTGAACTCAAAGCCCAGGAAGTAACAAAACAGATCAATCAGGCTCTAGAAAAATTCAAAACAGAAATAATTTCCCAGATAGCCATAGAGATAGTGAGCAAAATGGAAGTCGCGATTCGAGACTCTAGAGCAGAAACTGACAAAAAAATAGATGAGCTCAGGACCATGATAGAAGCCATGAAGGCCCAGCATAAGAAAGAAATGGAAAAAATAAACGCCCAACATAGGAAAGAAATGGAATCCATAAAACAGATTCAAACAGATATCCAGGAGATTAAA